AAAAAAAAATCTTGTAGCTATATTACATCCAACTCATATGATTTTGAAACAAAATCTTAAATATTAAATCCTGCTTGAGAAGAGGTGTTAGAGACCAATACAATAATTATTCATTTCTCTGATTACAAAATTGGAAGAAAATATGAGAATCTACTAATTTGGGCCCGTGACAGAGAAAAAGGTCCGATAAGGCCCAAATTTTGTACACACGTGTCTGTTTGTTCTTCTTTCTCCCACACTCGTCTCTGTGAACTGAGAACACAAAAGCCTTGACCTTGTTGCGTTTTCTCCAATTCTCGCAAGAACTAAAGAGGTAATTCCTTCAATTTCAGCTTTCTAATTGTTATTTTCACTGAAATCTGCAACTTTGTGAATACCCATTTCCTCGATTTTCTGTTTTCTGTTTAAAGTTTGGGATTTTATTGATTAATTTTGAGCTGTGAACAGATAAATTCCAATGGAGGAACAGAGAGAGAAAGAAAGTGAGTTTTTTGGTGATGACCCCGTGGTGGAAGCTATTAAGGGACTAGCTTTATCTTCTAGAACTGAAACCCTAGATGGTGAGGATCCCAAAACGGTAGAGTTTTTGGTTGAGAATACAGTTAGCTCTGATGATGTTGTGGTGAAGCCAGTAGATGAGAGATTCAGTGAGACAGCTAAGTCTCAAGTTAAGAGTCAAAATGGTGAAAGTGCAGGAAACGAACTTGAAAATTCGATGAAAAGAGGAGGAAACATGAAACCTATCCCAAGTGATCTCATCATCGAGATATTCTCGAGATTGCCAGCCAAGTCAGTTGGTAGGTTTCGTAGCCTGTCGAAGCTTTGGTGTTCCATACTTAGTAGTCCGGATTTCATCAAGACCAGGTCTTGTGCTCGTCCACGGCTCTTATTTGCGGTTGAACGAAAAGGTGTGTGGAGCTTCTTCTCGTCTCTTCAGTCGTCGTCGTCTCTTGTAGTTGATGCCGATTTTCATACCACATTCTCTGAAGACGTAAGCCGATTCACTTGTAGCTACGCTTTTGGCTTGTTCTATTTCCGTGATCTGTGGAATCCAAGCGTTGGTACATTCTATGTGGTGTGTAACCCTGTCACGGGCCAGTATGTGACTTTGCCTGACGTGAGCATGTACAGAAACTCGAGAGGCTTTTTAGGGTTTGATCCGATTCAAAAGCAGTTCAAGGTATTGGCTGAAGGTAATCCGTATTGTAGAGATCGGGAACCTCATGAAATTCTGACATTGGGAACTGGAGAACTCAGTTGGAGGAAGAAGAAGAGCGATTGTCCCAAATACGATCATTCTTTGTGTGAAGGGATATGCATCGATGGGGTTTTGTACTACTTAGTAGTCAACATTCGTGATTTGCCCGATGCTCTTGTTTGCTTCGATTTGAGGTCTGAGACATTCTTCAAGCTTGTTGTTGCGGAATGCTTTAATGATCGAAAGACGACGAAACTGATCAACTATAAAGGAAAGTTAGGTGGGATTGAGTGCAACTATGGTGAAGCTTGTGGAAAGTATACTCTTGAGCTGCGTCTTTGCGTGCTAGAGGATGTCGAGAGACATGAATGGTCGACGTATGTGTACACTCTACCGGAGAACAAACTGATTGATGATGATCCTTCCAACGTTTCCGTCGCCGGAGTGATTGCTGCTACGGGTGAGATTGTTCTGGCGATGGACTATACTTGCAAGCCGTACTACGTTTTCTACTTCAACCCCGAAAGAAACACTCTCCGAAGTGTCGAAATCCGAGGCTTTGGAGCTGATTTTGAAGCGCTTGAGTATCGTGGTAGAGTTTCTGCTTTTGTAGACCATGTTGAGCACATTGATGTTGAAGATTTTAAGCATTCTCGAGTCAAGCATCACTGCACCACCTGTGAAGCACATTTAGAGCATATGGACAATAACGATTCAATGCAACACGAGTCAAACGTGTTTGCTAATCAAGTCAAGCATCACTGCTCTAACTGTGAAGAACA